TCAAGCACATATTTGGCTCTAATGGCTCTAGCCAGAGCTTCCATGGCATCTTGACAACTACGTCCTGGCCTAAATCCATAAGAGTGAGGTTCAAAATGGGCTTCCCATACACACACACACATCGCAATGCCTCTATAATTGCCATCCGCGAGCTTCCATGTTCCTAGCATTTAAGAGTCACGTGGCCTGTGACATCTGTCTACACCCTGCCATTCAAGTCTCTGAAACCCCGCGCTCAAGTTTTTTAGCGCCGCTCAATTCCGCGCTCAAAGCGCCTCGACTCGGTTGGTAGGGTCGCAGTGGACCAAGTAGGAGAGTGATAGGTAATAAGGAACCTAGGTTCCACCGGATCCAAAGTAGGCCAGGTCATCGCTGTAGACGGGGTTTAGTTGAGAACACTGGGGACTCAGAGAGAAAGAGAGGGAGGGCCGGAAAATACTATCGAAGAAGTCCGAGAAAGAGAAAGAAGGTCTGTGTAAGTTAGAAGAGGAAGGTCATTGAGTGTGGATGGAATATGGGTCCTCAGTTCCGCTGGGACCGTAAGCTAAACTGGCTGATGCTGCCAGGACAACTCCGGGTTGAATTGTGAGGTCCACGGCCTCTCTTCTGTTGATATAATGAAATGTTGAATTCAAAACAATAATAATAATAATAATAATAATAAGGTTGTAGATCTTTTGGATACGTACAACCCCATTTTTTATTTTTTATTTAAGTTCATATGTATTTAAAAAAAAATAAAAACATAGAAAGCAGAAAAAACAAGACACACACACATAGACAACCCCCCCAACCCCCCAACCTCCGCCCCCAACAGAAAACCACCCCCACCCACCTATGCATTTTTTCCACGGAACCCCCCTATCGCAACTTCTTCAGGTGTGCGCGCTCTTTTTTCGACGAGCACGCGCGCCAGAAAACGCTTTGAGCGCATTCAAGCGCGGCCCGGGGGGTGGGGGGGGTTAAGCGTGCGCGCTCGCGCTTAAGCGCGCTCGTACGGTTTCATAGAAAGTCAATGTAAACACAGTTAAGATAGGGATTTAAACGCTTCTATTTCTGCTGTCGCATGCCATAAAGGTAACTGTGTCATTGTTGGTTTCTCTCAACTCCAGTGTTGTTGTTGTCTGCAATAGGACTAAAGCTGCTGCAGTTTTGGGTCTTACTCATGTGGATGGGGATAGGGGCTGTTGTGGTGAAAATTCCGAACACACACACACACACACTTTTGCATACTCGTGAATGCTGCGGTTTTGGGTCTACTCATGTGGATGGGGATAGGGGCTGTTGTGGTGAAAATTCCAAACACACACACACACACACTTTTGCATACTCGTGAATACTTCAACAAGTACGGGCAGAACCAAAGATCAACCAATATAGGATGAGCATGTATGCAGCGGAAGTCTGAGAAATGGACCGACTCACATAGACTGAACTCATACAGATATCACTCACCACACAAACAATCGTGAGATGGTGGGGTCTGAGCCAATCACAGACGATGCTCAGGCCCCGTACAACCATACACAGATGAAAGGTGGGAGGAGAGACGAAGGAGGTGGGAGATGTAGGCAGTGCCAGATGTCACCGAGATAGAATCCAGTAGGTCACCGATATGGTAGTCAAAAGGTCGTGGACAATAAGTCACCAATGTCGGAGATACAGAGTCCTAATGTAACCGGTGTCAAATCTGTGATGCCGCTGAGTATCAATCCTAACAATCTCCAAGTCTCGAATCCGGTACGTATCACAGACTCTTACCACCGAAGTCCCAACACTGATCCCTGTCCAACTCATATCAAAGTCTCCAACTCGTATCAAAGTCTCCAACTCGTATCAAAGTCTCCCTGAATAAGAAGAGGAAGAAGACGAAGTCTGAAGAAGAAGAAGAAGAAGAAGATGAAGAGGGGCAGAGGAGGAAGGTGGAGATGGCGAGGCAGGGAGGAGGTGTATACCTCACTCCCGAACTCGTGCTCGGCTCTTACCTGCAGGTGCAAGGTGGCGCCTTGGAGCTGTCGAAGACCCGCGACTTCAGCCTGGAGCTATGGCGCTGCACAGGTAAGTCGGTAAGTGCCTCTCTCTAACACCTCTACTCGCAAGTCGACGGATGTCCGTTCAGCCCAGACCGGCGGGCGGCAGCGTCAAGAGCGCCGCCAGGCCCAAACGGTCATGTCGTTTCGGCCGACCTGGGTCTGCTGGAGCTGAGGCCCAACCGGTGGCCTAACAGGGCCTACCGGGAGGAGAAGGCCTGGCCTTTGGCGAGGCCGGCCTGGGTACCCCTAAACCGGTATGTCGGGCCTGTGAAGGCCCGTGTGAAGTTGCAGACTTTAACACACACACACACACACACACACACACACACGCGCACACACACACACACACACACACACACACACACACAAACAAACAACAAGAAAAGTCCCCTGTGTATGCACACAACCACAAATAGTTGCAACCATGCTTGAACAGGCCCACTTATGCTCAAAAAGTTGCCTGTCATCCTTGTGCTCACATCCTTGTTTAGAATCACTGGTGGCTTTTGGCCCGTAGCTTCGGGCAACAAATGTCAATCGATCAGGAAATGTATCACAGGCAACCAGCCAGAGTAAGCCCAGCTTGGCAATAGGATGGACTGATAAAAGGTTCGCTACCTCCAGGCAACAAATGTCAACCCATCACGACCTGAAGTCAGGAGACACTCAACTTGGCGATGGCATTGACTGGATGCCATCACTTTGGTAAAGCGAACTACAGTCTTCACCCGAACAGAACGCCTGAAAACCATAATTTCATCTGTACAGTGCAGCAAAACATGGTCATTAAGGAGGAGGCAGCAGGTTGGGCCAGTGGCTGCCGAGCCAGTAGCAGCCCATCGGCAGCCACTGGCGAACCTGAGATAATGCTACCATGCTTAACCACCCATACCATTAAGAAAAAAAATAGATGTCACCGTTCTTTTCTGCAACCACCACTGGCCACCCCTCCACAAAGCATAACCTAGTTTATGCCCAACAAGAAGGAAAACCAAAACGGAAGGTTCAGAACAATTGCCATAGCCACTACCCATCTGAGACCCCAGATATGCAAATGAAGGACAGGGTGAGCTCAACTGCATAATGGGGAAAGGTTCCTCACCGCATAAGGGAAGGACAATGGAATTTCCCTTAAGGATCATGCTCAGCAGGAACAGGCCAGTTTGGCTCAACTGGCCGACTGTGTCTGCCGGCCCAATCTGACCAGCCGTGAGACAGTTCAAGGATTCTGGGTCCATCGAAAGGAGGTTCCAGGGGCTTACGCCCGGTGGTTTTTGGGGGCGATTCGATGAGGGACCTAGCTAACACGTTAAACACTCCGCCTGGGGAGTACAGTCGCAAGGCTGAAACTCAAAGGAATTGACGGGGGCCTGCACAACCGGGTACTCAAAGTCCTGGTCCCACGACTATACTAGCATGCTACCTTGCCAGTATGGCCCGTGTGGTTCAATGCTATCACCGTGTTATCATTGTAATCAGCTGGTGCCAAATCCATGGATGAGCTAATTCTACTCTGAATGGTCGAACCCAGAAATAACCCACCCACATCAACACTCCAGGAACGCATGAAACTGATCTTATAACACCACAAACCATCATGCGATCTGATTCCAGTACAAGCATTTCCTTCACTGCTTTTTTTACCCTCCTGCGTAATTATAGAAGCACATAATGACAATCAATTGCCAACATCACTGGAGAGAATCACAGGGCCAGCCCACTTCAGACACAGACTGAAACAAAAACGTGTCTGATCACAGAAAATAGGACGCATACTCGGAAGATCCTTCAATAGACACAAGTTCGATTGGCCATGAGCATTTCTGGGTGCGCGCATGCACATGCATGTGTGCAGGTGAGAGAGAGAGAGAGAGAGAGAGAGAGAGAGAGAGAGAGAGAGAGAGATGTGAGTCCATGCTTGCACACATCGTATCCCACTGATATACATGCTAATTGTACACAATTTCCCAACGTCTGCACAAGGTTCCCAAAGCTATGCATGTTACTTGTGACCGGGCTACCTGTTTCTAATTTAATTACAACTATACTGCAACAAAATAGAATTCAATAGCGAACAACCATGCATACAACAGAGAGAGAGAGAGAGAGAGAGAGAGAGAGAGAGAGAGAGAGAGAGAGAGAGAGAGAGAGAGAGAGAGAGATCTTGACAATTACTGAGAACCACTATGTGCGCCAAGCCGTCACAACGAGTTGGTGGGAAGAACTTTAAATATGGCGACAAGAAAACAAATAACTACTAGATACCCTCCATTGGTTTCAACTTTCTATGGCACTTCCTGTACAACAAAATTACTCACCTTCCTATATATTTGTTCCTGCATTTAGTTCTCGAACAGCTACAGGTCTGGCAACACCATCAGCACTGGGTAAAATGGTTATGTGTTGCATTCAACGACTGAGGTCCCCAATGCTGTGTGTATGTTTGTGAGCGTTCTAAAGAATCACCACAGGAAAACCCCTTCACAAACTGGATATCGTGCTCGGAACAGTATTACCCTGTGATACCGGAGAACGATTATGATGTATTTTCAGCGGTGGAACAGCCATTTCAGTGCTGCAAAGCCTGCATTTGCCAGGTTATATTAGTTCGAACCTACATTTGTGTTGTCATATCCGTCCGCCGCACAGAACTCCACAAAGAAAACATGACTGTGCCAGACCGTTTCCTCGGACTTTGGGCCTCGCTCCACTACTCACCAAATTACAATATGAGAATAAATCTTTCGCTAGAACGTGAGACATACATACACCGCCATGTCTTTCGTCTTTTGTTTATCTGGTGAGTAGTGGAGCAATGCCCATTCACTGAGCCTGCAGGAGGGTTCACCGAATCACAACAGTGCTCCTGCCAGTGCAAGTCCTGGACAAGAACAGCAGTAAGTTTGAGAAACTAACATATCTCTGTGCTTTAAATTCACCACAACACGCATGTTTTTGCACCCAGATGACAACAAGCGTGTTTCCACCCAGATGACTAGATCCGAAATTGAGACAGCCTTATCTGAGGAATGTATCATCATGGGGTCCTAGACAACATGCATATGTTCTGGACTGTGGGCCCCAGCAAGCCTCGTGCCCGCCCTAAGTGAAGGCGGGCCTGAATATCCACGACAGGCCCTTATGTCACCATTTTCCAATGTGGGTCTCAGACAGTTGCTGCACGCCAGTTGGTTGAAGTGCAAACTGGGCCTCACCCTGGGCTCTTCGAGAAGCAGCAGCTGTATCAGGCAGCGGAGCCCAAGACGCAGGTGGTTGCGCCCTGGGCACACGCAGTGTGAGGCCGACACATTACGAAGTGGCCACAGGCCAATGAGAATGCAGCATCGTCGTCACTTCTACCCCGCAGGCCAATGCAAACACAGCAAAAATTCGGAGCCTGGAAAATCCTGGGTGTGCCCAACAGAAAATGGCCCAGGCCCTCAACTGTAGACATGGGCCTGGGCGCAGACACAGGGGCCCCACCAGAAGCTACTGGAAACTTCCACGGCCAGGCCCAGGCCGTCCAGCAGCAGCAGTCCCTCCCATATAGGGAGGAGGCCAGCCAGTGAAGGGAATTCTGGGCTAGGCAGGCAATGCAGACACGCTGCTGTGATTCAGCGCAAGTGTCTGCATTGTGCTATTGCTGGCTGGGGCGCGAGCGCTGAGAGGTGTGGGGTGCTGAAGGGCAGAGGGGTGCCAAGCGGCCATAGCCGGGCTGCAGGGGCGCGGGCAGATTGAGGCAACAGTGGTCTTCAGGAAGGAGGCGCAGGTGTGGGTGGTCAAGGGGTGATGAGGGGAGTCGAGAGTACGTACCTGGTGTATGTGGGAGGTCAGCATTGGTGTTGACTTCATGTACATTGGTCTTCGATGTCGAAGTGAGCCTGTTGCACGAACGTAGATAGGCTAGATAGGATGAGTACAGTACGCTGGGCGCCGGGCTCCAGACAGTAGGAGCGACGTTGAATACTGCGTCGGTGTGGCCTGAGGGCTTGGACATTGGCCCACAAGTTCATTGTATCGCTCTTATTTGGATGGAATCTTGGTGCATTTGAGCTCTCTGCTTGTTACATGACTATCTGGAATTCTACGTGATTTTGCAACTTTGCAACTTCGTTATCTGTTTATCGCTCTCGCTCATATTCCTTGCACTTACCTTGACAATCTTCAACGTATGACATTTCCAATAATTCCCACGTCTAATGTTTCGATGAACGCCCATTTCATTGTTGTGTTCTGAGAGGTGCAATGTTCAACATAGATTGGACTGCATACACACCAGTTTGCTCTTTAGCAGACCTGCACCTTATATATTGTTTTCTCTCTTAATGATGTTCATTCCTCTGCATTTGGTAGAGTGGAGGGGAAAGAAATGGATGCTATTTAGCACACCTGCACCTTATATATTGTCTTCTCTCTTAATGATGTTCATTCCTCTGCATTTAGTAGAGTGGAGGGGAAAGAAATGGATGCTCTTTAGCACACCTGCACCTTATATATTGTCTTCTCTCTTAATGATGTTCATTCCTCTGCATTTAGTAGAGTGGAGGGGAAAGTAATGGGAATGGGGGAAAGTCAAACCTCATAGGGTTCCCAATACTCACCGGCAGAGCAGACTGCAACAGAATGGCACACATGAGGCCAGCTTGTGTTTGGGTTGGAGAGAAAACCGAGTCGAGGAGCAGTTGTCGCATATGTAAATGGCCACCCCTGCAGACCGGACAGGACCAGCTCAGGTGTGGACTGTGGAAAAGACATCCACTTGTCACAGTTGCAGTTGTGGCTCCAACATGCTAGCAACACAGAGGCACGCCAGCTGAATTTATACAGCCACTGCCATCCCACTAGTTTCTGTGTATGTGTGTTGTTGTCTTTTTCGTCGTCAAGCATCACCCATTAGCCTCTATTCCGTACCCAACACTGTGGAAGTGACACAAACCAAATGTACCACATAGAAGTGCAAGGTGCACCATGCCTGTGTGGTTGAGCAGGAAAAGTCCACCCACGAATGAGCAAGCACTCCTATGTTGAGCAAGGGGCCGTCTGCCTGGAAGTGACGGCATGGCCTGAGCGGGCCTCTAACAAATGCAAACAGACAGTCCACTTGTCAAACAACCATACCGTGCCCATCAACCCACAGAGCCACCATGGGAGCAAACAAAACACATGCCTGCATCCCCCCAACAGCATCCCATGTCCGTGCGTCACAGGAAGCACTAACACAAACACCCTGGGCTCACCCAAGCCTTGTGCTGTGGAAGCTGCAGCCCATCGGAATCTCACCTACACTATGCTACACGAAGCACTCACAGCGTCCATCCACAAGTGCAACACACTAGCCAGCTACAGCACAGAGCCGCAGCTCACGACCAGGATGGAGGATGGAGAACCCTCGTGCAACGCCAGGAGCTTTACCACCTGAAACACCCTAGTCCTTACACAATCAAGTGCTCTACAAGAACGGCCTTCGGTGTGTGTGTGGCACGTGTTATATAAGAAATCCCCAAAATCAATGCATCCCAGCATACTTACTGGCACTGAAAATCAGAGTGCAAGGCAGGTCACATCTCTGTAGTAGTTGAGCACCTGGTGCCTTACAGTCTCGTTCATGCAAAGCGCACTTGCGGATAAAGATGCATGGTATAGAATCTATAGACGAACAAAGAAATAAGTCATCGAACAGCCTGTACATGTGTGGTCCTGTTCAGTATGCACAACACCACAAAGAAATAAAGCACGACTGGGAGGGATCATTTCATCAGACCTCCATCCATGGATCGGGAGGTTGAGCCCCGAGTCTGCCCAGGACGACTCGTTTGACAGATGGATAACAACTCGTCACATCGCCCAGAGTTAGCAACACCCCTGAGAAAATTGGTAGACTTTTGTCACACCAGTCCTGCAACCTCAGCAGACTGTCATACCAATCCCCTCGCAAGACCAACAGTAAGTCCAAGAAACTAGTTAGTTTGTCACGTACGACAAAGACCGTTAACACAGGCGATCCTACGTGCAGCGAAGTTGCCTCTACCAAGAAAATTTGGGAATGCCTCCAAATTTTGCTTCTTTCCGTGTGCCAGCACTGAGTGTGTTTGTGATGTGTATGTGTGTGTGTGGCGTATGTGTTTGGGATGTACGCATGTCTGTGCATGCGTGTGATGTGCACACGTGTGTATGTTGCAAAGAAAGCAACGGTCACGCCCATTCATCCAAGTAGTTGTGGGTGGGTGTGTTTTGTCAAAAGGGACACCATTATAACCCCCAATCTACGAATCAAGAAAAAAGAGTCCCCACGTCTATGTGCTCGAGTGGGCAGCACCTGCATATCGGTCCACTTGACACGCACTTGCACAATAAAATACAAAACCTTCCTCCCGAATTACACACACCATCCTCCCAAAAGGAACAGAGACATGAATCTTCATACGACCCAGTCCTACCGTCCAAAAGCCCCGTGAGAATCTCACCCACAGCATGATTTCCCTGAGCAATCTACAAACACTAGATGACAACAGGGCAATGTCGCGGATCGAGAAGCACCAATGTCTCTGGGTGGTCCGGGTGTGTTTGTGTTTGTATGTGCGTGTGCATCTGTATGTGTGTGGCCTGTCATGTGAGTGTGGTAGTGTGGGCGTCCTTGTTATGCGTGCATGCAGATGGCGCACATTCTGTTTGTGCCTGTGCATGCGGGTGTGTTTGTGTTTGTATGTGCGTGTGCATCTGTATGTGTGTGGTGTGTCATTTGTGTGTAGTAGTGTGGGCGTGCATCTTATGTGTGCATGTGGATGGCGCACATTCTGTTTGTGCCCGTGTTTGGCTTGTGTGTGGTACAGTGGTTGCATCTGAGTTGCAAATATCCTTGGTCGACGTTCCCCTGAGATATGGCTCTCAAATGGCACCGTATAGGTTTCCAGTCAGGAGGCTAGAGAAAAGAGAGTGCTGGGAGGACCACAACCCATGATATGCCTGCAAGAGAAACGTCTGACGCAAGAAGCGGAGTCAAATATTGACGCAAACAGTTGACACACAAGAGCAAGTCCGCAGCCAAGCAAGCAATCCAAGAACCACACAACCGTTTCCTCTTCCAGATGGACTTTTCTAGCTGACAAGATAACAAGATACCTCAATACCACATTGGCCACCCACACAGACATGAAAAAAAAAAAAAAAAAAAAAAAAAAAAAAAAAAAAAATGATGAAGGGAGCGTGGACAGTAAGGAAAATATTAGGAAAATATTTAAGCAAGTGGGGGTGCAAAAGAGAAACGATACGATGTGAATGGGCGGGGACCAAATAGAAAAGGGCCACAAGACAAGCAGTAATGGAAAGCAAACGGGAGGAAGTCTGTGCCGTGACAAGAGGAGTTGGTGGTACAAACACGAAATGGACAAGAGGAGTTGGCGGTGCAAACACGAGGTGGAGGGTACTTAAAAACAAAGGAAAACAAAGAAGAAAACGGAAAAATGGGTCGTATCGACCGAAAAAGAAGATGCGTGAAGAGAGGGAGCAAGGAATGAGGGGACGTGACTGAAGGAGGAGAAGCTCAGAGTCGAGAGAACTCTGAAAATGTGATATTTTCCTTCTTCTGGCCTCTTCTTTTTTCCGTTCATCCCCAGCAACAACTTTGTCAAGACCACATACCTGCTGCTATGCCCTACTTCATCGTCTCTTCCACTGTGACTAGCTCCAAAGTCTGAGTACTTCTGGAAGGGGTAATAAGAATCGGACGTTGCTGCTGCTGCTGCTGCTGAAGAAGAGGTGGAGGGAGTGGAGGTCGAGGAGGAGGGAGAAGAGCCGAGCGGGTTGAGAACAGGGAAGGGGCAGGGAGGAGAGAAGGGGGTGGAAGAAGAGACGGAGGGGGGCCTGAAGGGGCAGGTGGAACAAAGGTAAGAGCAGCCCGACGAGGAGGGAGTGGAGGTGGGCGAGGAGTTAAGAGAGGGTGCTGTTGCTGATGTTGCTGATGTTGCTGATGTTGCTGCAATTGATGGGAAGGAAGAGGGGGGGGGGGTGGAGGAGGAGGCGGTGGCGGTGGAGGAGGATGCTTACTTCCACCCTCCACTTGACCTACCCCTCCTCTTGGCACAGCAGTGCCATGTGGGATCATTCCGACCGCAGCTGCTCTTCCTCCTCCTCTCTCCAGACATCTCGATCCCGACCCCTGTACGGGTCTTTCTATCTCCGTGGATGAGAGCTTCTCTTGGGCAGCAGTTTGATCCCTTCGCTCACTATCCTCTTGATGTTGTTGCTGAGTTTGCAGAGGAAGGCATGCTGCCTCCTCCGCCCCTCCTCGACTTGCCAATGCGTTCCCTCCATCCCCTCCCCTACTACCGCCACTGCTATCGCTACCTGAGTTAGATGAAAAATCCCTACTAGTAAGCAAACTAATGATCGACGAACTGGGGCTGGCTCCTAATGGCTGCCCCTTTCCCAGCACCCTCCTGATTAGCCCTATCCTTGGCCTTTTCCTGCGGGCAAACCCTTCTTCCGATGCTGACCTGGACGGCACGCGGGGACATGTCCCTCCTACCTCAACTATCCCATCCCTATCTGCCGAAACCGCCCCTGACGACTCCCACACCATAGGCCCCTCCTGTTCGCCACGTCCTCCTCCATCTCCGACTTCCATTGGCGTGGACCCCGAGACATCCTCCACCCTAGTCCCATCCCTCATCTCTTGCTGCTGAGACGAGTAACTCCCAGCTGTTCCTCCTCCGAGTCCTGTTACCATCCCACGGTTTGGCGGTGCCCCCATCTCACTAGGAATACTAGTAGTCTCCACAGCTGCCGGTCTTTCTCCTACCACACCGCCACGCCTCACCATCAACTCTTGCAGTTCCTGCTGTTGTTGTTGCGGCTGCTGTTGTTGCTTTTGTTGAGGTAAGCCCCACAACGACAAGGGGCAAGTGCTCACCCCGCCTCCCCTACGCTGGCCTAGGGATTCTATCGCCTCCATCAAGATCACTCGGCTCGGCGATGGCGGAGCCCGTTCAGCCATCTCTTTGATGAACGTCAGCGCTGCTTTGGCTGCAGTAAGTTTCGCATCCTTCCGAGTCCTACCCCAAGCCTCCCCCACCTTCTCCGGCCCAAAAAAGACCTCCACAAGGCATTGCTCTTCCAAATTCGCTTCAGAAGAGTCGGCAATATGTATCTTGTATTGCACCAGCTCCTTCACCTTTTGTCCCAATTCGTTAAGCATGCTAACAGAATTCACAGAAGAAGGCATTCCTGCACGGCGGAGAGTTTCTTCGTCCCAAGTGGACACAATGCACTCACCTCCTCCCCCTGTTCCTCCTGTTGCTGCTGTTGCTGTTACTCCTCCCGGCCCGCCACCAGAGTCCTTTAGCTTCTGCCAGGCACGGCCATCATCTTCTTCTTCCCCAGCCACCCCTTTGTCCATTCGAGGGTCGCGCTCTTTGCAGGCGACAGCTCTGACTACATTCCCATTGTTGCTGTTACCATCCACAGTCCTCTCTCTCTCCATTGACCCCCCAGCCCACAAGTACTTTCCCCTATCCCCTTTCCTCTCATATCCATTGTTCCACCACGATCCTGCACCACCACCACCACCTCCTCCTCCATCTCGCAGCGAGAGATGTTTGGTAACGTCTCTAGCACTTCCCCCTGGACCATTGAAGCAGATAAGCCCAGGGTCTCTTATGGCTGTGTCCAATGGCTCCACACGGACAGAAAGCCGATCTCGCTGCTCCATCTGCCGCAAAGGGTGGCGTGGCTCTCCCTGAGACAGAGGAGGATGGAGTGCTTCCGTCCGACGAGGTAGAGGCTGGAGTGCCTCGGGACGCAAGGGCGGAGGTTGCCCCGCACGCGACCCCATCTGCCTGCTTCCCCTAACACCTTTCGACTCGATTTCGCCACCGCCAACCCCAGCAGCGACTCCCACTCTTGTGCCCCCCATTCCACCAGCGGCCGCTTCCTGCAGACCTTCATTCGAGTGCATCCCATCTAGAAGAGTCTGAGACAGTCCATCGTCTAAGTGTTTAGGCGGATGCTGCTGCGGCTGGGACCCTTCGTAAGACGCCTTCAGGACACTAACGACGGGCACATTCCCCTCTCTCGTAGACGCTTGAGCGGGAGGGGGATGAGGGGGCGGAGGTGGAGGCGGCGGAGGTGGGGGAGGAAGCATAGTTGATGGAGGGCGTGCCATGGGAGCAGAAGCTATGGACGGGAGGTGGAGATGCGCCAGGGCAAGCGAAGGGAATCCTTCGGGATGCTGCCGTTGCGGCTGCGGCTGGACAGGAGGTGATGGTTTGGCAATGCCAGCGCAGCTTGGTACCACCCTCATGGGGAATAGCTGCAGCTCCGCCATTGTTGTCTCCGCCCCTCCAACCCCACCTGTGGCCTCGCGAGTACTAAATTGCCCACCGCTAATGTGACTGACATCTCGCCGGGGCCCTGCGTGCTTCACTACCCCGCCTCCCTCGATGGCTTTCTTTTCCTCTTCCAGTGGATTAAATTCCTCGAGATCGTCCGTGTCAGCGAACCAACCCCCACTTCGCCTCCCCTCCTGCTGCTGTTGCAGTGGCGGTGCCAGCGGCCTCTGTTCCATAATTCCATTGCCTGGCCCGCGTTGCATCATCCTGTCCACGACCGGCCCGCAATGACCAGCCTCTTGACCGGGCGTTGGCAGGGTCGGGGAAATCTGCACAAGCGGGTTGTTTGGCTGTGGCACGGCGACAATGCCCGTTGGTGCAGACGGGGCAAGAGGAAGAGGCAGAGAGGTAGACACTGCAGATGCGGCAGCAGCAGCACCAGAACCAGCGCTAAGGACTCCCCCTATCCCTTCCGAAATGGAAACCAGCATAGTTGGCGCGATTCCTTCACGAGAAGGTTGCAGCTGCTGCAATAGGAGATGCTGCTTCAGGAGCGGATGCTGCAGCAACTGTTGCTGAAGCGCCAGGAGCTGCTGCGACACTGGTGCCATCCCTGCAGTTGTCCCTGCCTCCACCCCGCCAGCTTTCGCCTCGCACGCTTCCCCTGCCATCCCAGCTTCCGTTATCCCACCGGGCAACATTACCTGAGGCAGTGCTCCTGAGCACGAATCAATCGCAGCATAGCTTTCCGACAAACCCCCTTGCCGCCGATGATGATGATGATGATGTAAATGCTGCAGCTGCAGCTGCTGCTGCAACTGCTCCAAGTGTTGCTGCAGCTGTTGCTGTATCGCAAAGAGCTGCTGCGCGTCGACGGCTCCCCCTGCTTCACTTGCGACTGCGACTGCTTCCCCCATTCCCCCTACGACTTCTCCGTCACGTGCTGCTGCCACCGTCTCCTGCTGCGCAGCCCTCCGCTCAGACTCTACAGCCCCCACCACTGCCACACCACCCTCCACACCCGCAACAACCCCCGCCCCAACTCGCACCAATTTCTTTTTCTGTTGTTGTTGTTGTTGTTGTTGTTGTTGTTGTTGTTGTTGTTGTTGTTGTTGCTGCTGCTGCTGAGGAGTTCCCTGGGCCTGATGCGGGCCCAATCTTAAATCTCGTCCATTCTTCAGTTCGACCCCTACTATCACCGCCCCATGAATGTCGGTCGAAGCCATGCCCCCGCTCTGCTGCTGCTCCGTCACCATCCCCCCCACTCCCCCCCCAGAAGCGATCTGCTGCTGCTGCGTGTGCACTTGCGCATGCTGCGATACCAACCGCGGACGATGATCCTCCCCTGACGCACCAGCCACGTGAAGCTGCTGCTGATGTTGTTGTTGCGTCGCTGCTGCCGCTGACGCCGCAGCAGCTGCAGCCGCAGACACATTGGCCCCTGACAAAGGGGGAGGAGGAGGCTCTTCCACATTGAGGTTGAGAAACCTGGCCACATCCGGTCGAGGCAACCGGCCTGAATCCACCGAACAGAACTGCACTATATCCAAGTGCTCCGTAAGATTTTCATCCACCTCCTTATAGAACCACCCCCTCACATTGCATGCCGTATTCCTCGCAACTCGGAGGACCGGCACCTCACACTCGTACTCTGCCATAGGAACGTAATAGGGTTGGAAGGGGGAGACAATATGGACCCGTCTCTGGTCGCCGTCCTCCCAGACGTTGATTCTATCGTCTATAATTAACGCCATGGATGGATGACACCTTCGCTGATGAAACACGTTGCTCAGTGACTTTCTACCATCTGGTCGCACACAGACCACTCGGTCGATCAACTCCCGGTGCGGGATCAGCTGCGTGTCGGGGTCTAGCAACCTCCACATCTCAAACGCGTACTCCTTTTCCGCCATGGTACACACGTATACGTCAAATCGCCTCCTGCCCTTTGTCGTCACGTAACTTCGTAGTTCTTCCCAATACGGTCTAATCCGAACAATGACGCTCGTGTCCCGGATGGCAGGGTTAATCCTCGTCAGAATGATCGTGCGATCGGCGCTAACTATGCGGATGACGGGCCTCATCATCGGCGCTCTTTGCTGCTCCATTCCCGCAACACACGTTGGCGTCAGACTACATGCCAAAGAAGAAGCGGAGACAGCTGCAGAAGGAGTGAACGACGAGGACGAGGACGAGCCAGAGCCCGCGATGAAGGGTGACGAAGTGCCGCTCATGGCACCTGCACCAGCACCACCAACACCTCCTGCGATATGCACTGACTCGTACTGAGGCCTGTACACCACTCCGTTCTCTATCACTGTGTTGCTGTCAATGTACTGCTTGAGCATTGCCCTGTCCTGGTGATATCTGCTTACCTCGCCTCTCATCAGCTCCAACCTCGACACGTCAGATTCTCCCTTCATCCGCCGTTCGATTGCGTCTATGCGGTCCTCAAAAGACTTCATCGTGTTGGCCACGATCAAAGTCTCGTCTAGGTCTAGCACCAGAGCAAGGCAGCGCATGTTCAGCATCTTGAGACAAGCCTCGTATTGCCCCTCGTAGGTGGCGTATCCCCAGAAACACGGCTTCCCGTAACCGTCGGCTTGAAAAGGAGGCGGGATCATAGCCGCTAGATGAATAACCCGTCCATCTTTCACCGCGACGACTGCCGTCTTCGCTTCCGCCAGGCATGCCGTATGCATGCGCTCGAGCCCAAGCCAGTCTGAACGTTCGGGAGAGCCTGGCAGCAGCTTAACTAGCACACCCCGGTCAGCGACAGTGTGCAACACCACATGCGGCTTCAGTCGATCGCTGGCTAGGGAATAGCGCACCACGCGTATTTCCTTCTCAAATATAGACCTAAGATACCCGTCATCCCTCTGCTGGCCCATAACCATAACCTCCCCTACGACCACATCAACGTTCACCAACCTCGTCTTAAATCCCTCCATTCCACTCGACCTTCTGCCTCGACGTCTTCCTTCCCTAAACTCTATCTCTCTCTCTCTCTCTCTCTCTCTCTCTCTCTCTCTCTCTCTCTCTCTCTGTCTCTGTGTCTGTCTGTGTGGGTTGGTCCCTGTCTGAGTGTCTGCGTGTTCCGCTTCTATCTCCGAAAACCTGCCTACCTACCTATATACACGTGTATAAATCCCCTTCCCAACCCCGTCCCCAAGGAGGTCGTAAGTCAGACGCGGAGGCGTCCACAAAAGGACGACATACCCCGGTGTGCTCCTCCAGTTCCTCCAGAAGGGGGAGTATTTGTTGCAGCCAGGCAGCTGGGACGAAATTATTTGTGAAGTGTCACAAGGGAGTAGATGCACAACGTCATGCTGCAATAGAAAATAAGCTCTCCTGCTGTACTCATTGACAGCAATAGCTGCTGCTTCAATTCTAGGTATCATTTTCCTCGCACTTATCATCATGTTCCCTTCGTCGTGGGCACACCCCTCATCATCAGCCTTGCGATCATGATTCAACATTACATTGATCACGACGTGATCACCATGGGGACTAAGGGTTCATGTCCCAAACCCTAAGGAAGAGGAGCGGCAAGAGGGCACTTCGTCTGGGTATTCGCTGTGCAGGAAGAGCAGCAAAAGCCGGTCCTCACTTTTAAGCTGAGTCGAAGGCGAGATAGGTCGCCAACACGAGGATTACAGACAAGATAACTGCGCTGGCTTCGTCGCCACTGACAGCGCCAAAAGCGTTGGCGCCCACAGTCTTCCTCTCGCTTCGCACATCCTCCTCTTGATCGATGAGCAATAAGAGACTTGGGATCACAGCCAAACAGACCAGCTACGGACAGCAACCAGACGCTAGTAATACAGCTGCCACTCCTGATGTATAATGATGATAACCACAATCATGATTATGATAATGAAGATACGAACGGAGATGTGGATCGTCCTGATGATCGCCGAGAATAAGCTTGCAAGGACGACCACCAACTAAGAAAAAAGAGCAAGGATGGCAGGACCATGCCACTGATGTGCGAAAGCCGTCAACGATATCGATGTCCCATGTGAGATGCAAAGCGCGAAGAAACATAGGATACAAAACAAGTTCGTACGACACCCCACGTTTCCCCATGCGCCGATTGATAAGGGGGCCTCTCAAGGTTAAAGCCCGTCAAGAAAGCAAACTGTACTGGAGCGCCGGGGGCAGAAGAGAGAAAGAGGTGATCAGAACACGCGCACCCGTACACACCACACTCATGTACCCTCTTACACGCAACACACACGCGCTCTAGCTCGCACACGCAGGCCACCCGCAATCACAGACGCATACACACTCACGCTCTCTCCCACGGACTTGCACATTCCCACTCACCACACATACATGTTCGGACACCATAAACGCGCGCACAGACATGCGTACGAACAGACACCCAAAGAAAACACACGTGTGCCCACCCGCCCCCTGAAATACACACCCAAACAAACAAGCAGACATACGCGCGCGTCCTCAAGACTCCCCGCC